AACAAGAACAAGAACAAGAACAAGAACAAGAACAAGAACTGTCCAGAACCTCACTATTCTTTGAAGGGCACAGTTCCAGCCAGGTGAAGACATCCCCTCCCAGTAGTTCTACCAGCTTCCAATGGTGCCAATTGCTTGGAGACCCAGCCTTTACCACATATCCCTTTTAGGGGACATTTATTCAAACCATAGCAAGTATCCATGTTATTATTTGTTCTTGACATATGAAGACTGTTAATTTGTATAATTTATGTATGACTTTTCTAAAGTTAAGGGAGTAGACATGGATTGATCTATGTTGCAAAGTTCTGGAATATTTGATGAATAATTATCATCTTTTACCTTCCAGCATTAAGCAGTTTCATTGTTCTCTGCTCTCCTTAACTTTCTATGTTATTTAATAACACATTGAATGGGATTCATTGTGCTGTAGCAGTTGTCATATTTTAAAAAGACCACAACAGACCTCTGTGATGGCAAGATTAAGCCTATGTCTCTCCCCACCACCCTAGTTTGCAGAAGTATGAGATTGGGGAGAGAGAGAAAGGGGAAGAGAACGACCATGCAGAGAATACTATAGCTCTGCTGCTCTCAGAAGGGCACATGAGAGAACTCCAAAGGAAAAGTTTGGAGATGCCATCTAGGGAGAAACGCCTTTTCATTATCTGGTTATGCTCTACACAGACATATTTGTTGATGTGTCCAGAGTGTAGCTGGGAATGGTACAGGGAAAGGAGAAGGATGACCAACAGAGAGATGTTAGCTGCATTCTGATCTTCAGGGTGATAAGCAACCAGGAACTTCTGTGTCCTTGTGTGTTCACGCGAGAGTTGGCAGAGGCCAGCTTGCTTCTTCTAGTTTGGAAGCAATGGAGAAAAGCCGAAGGATATAGTTAGTTGATAGGGAAGTTTCTGGGCCCTTGTGACCCCTCCTTCTGTCTTTTTGACTTGGCATCTCAGGTGCTGCCATTTTCACAGAATTAGTTGTGAAGGCAGTTGGAGATCAGTGGCTGGGTTGAGGGCTTTCTTTCGTCAGACTGATGTGTCAAGGAAGAATAGATCTCCTGAAAGTTATGTAACACGCTGAGCCTGTGCAGTCTTGCCTTTGCCCTGTCCCAGAGCACGGTTAATCCCTGGAGTACACAGGCTCTTTACTAGTAATCAACAAGCTGTGCATTTCTGCTGAAGGTTTAATGTGGAACATGGGCATCTGGAGAGGTGTAAGGATGGGACATGCTCTGGTCTGTAGGTTTGATCCCAACTTAGTAGCTGACTGCTCTCAGGCAAGCTTTTTAAAGGTGTTTTCAGCAGTTTCCTTGTATGTCACATGTGGATAATCAGAGCATATATGATATGCAGTGATGCTGTGAATACTGCATAGTGCACAGAAACCTTGGCTGTCAGGCCTGGTTCAGAATAAGTCTTCAGAGACTGTTGGTCTTTCTTCTCAGGAAAGCTTAATTTGTGAAAATGCATGCATATGTATGATAAAGTGCCTTGTTTTGGTGTTTCTTCAGTTGGCAGATTTCATATTTATATTCTTTTTTAATACTTTGCTTCTTTATCCGTCTATGAAGGGTATGTCACCAATGGTAAGCCTAGTGTGACTGGAATGACACTCATTCTCTTTCCCCCTTGCTTTCCTTTCCTACTTGGAGCCCTGTCACTCCCCCGCAGCCCTTTCAGTCAGTGAGCAAGATTTCTCAGGAAAACAAAAAAGAATAGGCAGAAGTCCAAGGTTTACTTGAGAATATAAAAAATGATTTTTATTATGAATACAGTAAAAGGTCCCTAAAAACTCAGTGAGCATCTGCTGATGGATTTGGTTGTATCCTGGATTGAGGACCCCAGTCTTTCAGCATAACTATCATTGCTCACTGTATGCATGACTGGGAAGGGAACCAGGAATAAGAGGATGTCCTTTCGCCTCTCAGAGGAAACATCAGGAGGTTAAATAACATGATGTAAAATTTTAATTGCTTAATTAAATTAAGAAAGGCTTCAGAGTGTGGTTGACGGAGGGGGAGGGACCAATGGGAGAGACAGCCTATGGGGCTGCAGTTACATCCTCTTGGCCGTCCATCTTCCAGAATGTCTCACGGGTTCCTGCTGGACCATTCAAAGAACTCGCCTCCAGGTCCCTGATGTAGTCCTGGACCCAGGAGTCTCGGGGATTGGCACATATAGATGTGCCTTTTTTGATGAGGAAGCTACAGAGGGGATAGAAGTATACAGATAGTGAGTGAGGGCATCTTTATACCATCTGTGGCCCCTTATAATTCACACTCAGTGCAGCTCAAAATGAATCCATTTTGTCGAGAAAGCATCCCCTCAGATCTCAGGCCTCCCAGGCCTTCCCTGGGTGAGTTGTGGAAGCCACTTTCTTCCTGCTTGTCTCGTTCTCTCCTCTCTACCCTCTGGTTTCTGGAAGGTCCTCCCTGACTCTCTGTAGCCCCCAGATAAAGTCAAGAAAGAGCCCTGCAGCCTCCTTCTGTGTCCCATACTCACAGAAGTCCTGCAAAGGGCTTCTTAGCCAGGAGCGGGCACACCTGTGAACTGCTTCATCGACTCCTGCAGGGCTGCACCTCCCTGTTCTCTGTCTGCCTAGGGCAAGGACAAGAACTGGCACTTACATGACACCATCTGTAGAGCACATGCTGCTGGTCCTAAAATAGGCTACCACAAGTTTTCGGGGGATCGGACGGGAGGTGAAGGAGATGCAGCAGGCAGGCAGGTTCTGAATCTTAACTGAGTGAGGAAACAAAGATAACAGGAGTTGGTCAAAACAGGCAGGCAGGAGCAGGCCAGGGAAAGGTGGGGAGACCGCAGAGCTCAAGAGGCTTAGGGGAAAGACAATCAGAAATAATTTGATTTTTTGTTTCTCATTAATTTTTTGTTTTTCTATTTTGGCTCTTAACTTACTGTACAGGAAATGAAGCTCTCTAAGTAACCTACTTCCTTCTCCTAACTTTCTTTGATGGGAATTTCTTTTTCCCAATCTTTTAAATCATAAGATAGCTGAGAAAAGTAGGAACATTACTTCTAAATTATTACCCAAGAGGTTGAATTTTTAGGTATGTGGAGGCAATTCTAAAACTTAACCAGCACCAATGGGAACTACATACATAGTCCTGCATTCTGCCTCATGGTAATAGCCCAGTAAATTAGACTTCAAAGTTCTCCTCTAAAACATAGGATAAAACCTCCCCCAATTCCTGTCTTAAAACTGGCCCTTTTGATAGACTCATTTGAACTCTCTCAATGGAAACAACTGCGTCATACTGAAACTGAGTTCAACACTCTCTGGGTTCATGTGGCAGCTCTCAGCTGCAACACTCAGGGGATATGGTCTAACTCTTGGCCAGGGGGCAACAGGTAAAGGAAAGGGGACAATAGAATTACCTTTTTCAGAAGAGCAGAGCATCATTGTGCAGAGGAAGACCACAAGGGCAACCGTGAGGGCCTTCATGACGCTGGGCAGGCAGAAGGAGTGTGGGCAGGGCTGAGTTGGGGCTTTAGGATCACTTCTGCTAGCCTCCTAGGATCTGAGCTAGCTCTTTCCTTTTATGTGCAGCCCCAGGCAAGAGGATATAGAAGTTGATGTGCATAAGCAAGAAATTTTTTAAGTGCAGTACTGTCACATCAGTTGCACAACCCAGGGTTGCTCGTGGATTCTAGAGTTAGGATACACACAAGAGTGAGTCAGGGGCTTATCTGATTGGAATGCATTTGGGGAAGTTGTTTCTCCTGACAGATGAACGGGAGTTGGGCACACCTAAAAATTTTGCAGAGCTGTTTCCTCTGCACATGACAGATGTCTTTCTGAAGTCAGTGGTCACAGCCTCCTTTGGTAGAGCAGTGTACTTTGATGGCCTTTGGATCAGTGTGTGTCAGTGAGTCTGCACATGTCCCTCTATGTTGCCCAGGTTGGCCTCAAACTCCTGAATACACATGGTCATCCTGTCTCAGGCACCTGAGTAATTGAGGCTGGAAGGCATGCCCCATGGCACCTGGCTTCACAATTGTTCTTAATTTTAGCCAGGCATGGTAGCACAATCCTGTGGTTCTAGTATTCAGGAGGCTGAGGCAAGAGAATCATCATGAATTTGAGGCTGTCCTGGGCCACACAATGAATTCAAGTCTAACTTAAACTACATAGTGAGACCCTCTCCAAGAAACTGCAATTGTTCTTCATTTTAATATAGTCAAATACATTGACTTAAGCATAGGGCTAGGAGTTCTGTAATCCAATGAGAAATCTTTTCTTTATTCTAAGGTAATAAAGAAATCTTTCTCCATTAAATTCTGGAGACTTTATTGCTTCAGCATTGCTACTTAAATTTACAACCCATCTAGTTGGTTTTCATGTTTGATATGAAGAAGGATTCAAGATTCGGCTTTTGTCATATCAACATGTGTCAATCTCAGTAGCATCTTCTATTGGCCAAACGATTGTATTAGGTTTCTTTACACTCACTAATAAGAACTTAGGGAACTGGCTCATGTTATCATGAGGGCTGACGTCTTTCTGGGGCTTAAGTTATGCCCTGTCTTTTAATAGGCAACTGTGAAGGATTGGAGTGGGTGCTGGAGATGCCCAGAGAGACTCAGTGCACTGAATCTCTGAGATCGTGTCATGCTCTGAGTAATACATTGTGGGGTATGTTGGATCCTCACAAGGTTCAGCATATCCAGGAATATAATTGCCCACTTTTGGTGGCTGATTGTGTGGAAATGTTTTGTCAGTGAGAGGAGGTGAGATGTGAGTGTGAAAGCCATGGAAAAATCTATTAGGACTTTCTCCCACAGAGCTGATCTGTAGTGCTGTGCTGCTGCCTCTCTGACCACATGAGGTGACGTACATGGTAACGTCCCATTGTCCTTGGCAGCACAAGTCAGATGTCAGTCACATGGGGGGTGAAAAAAACCCATGACATCATGTACATTAGTATTTCTAGGAAAAAACAAGAGCCGATTGTGGGAAGTGAAGAGTTGGCGTCTGGGCTACAGGCATAACAAGAATGGTGAGGTCAGACTTTTAATCGTGGTTTGGTTCATCAGACAGTCAGAGCTCCTCACCATATTCAGTTGTTGGGTTTAACACCAGGCTGAAGAGGTGAATGTGCACTGAATAGAGTGCATCCATGTAGATCAGGAGCTCAGTGTGTCCTTATTTTTTTGATCCAGGAAGCCCATGGCTAGGAAAACACTCTGTGAAAATACACCTCTTCATGGAAGAAATTTTTTTTTCAAAATTTTATTGATAAACAGATAGCAATGAGACAGTTTCAAATCAAATCGGAAGTACACTTTCAACAAATAATACACTGCATATATTCTTCTTACTGGTTAATTGCTGTACAAGATGTGGACTTGAGACCCTATTTACAAACACCATTAGAACAAATCATTCTATTCATTAAGAGA